TGTACGCCGGGAGTGTGGATGGAAGGAGAGGTAGCCAAGCGATGACTTGGTCGAGAGGAATGAAGGTCCTTACTTTAAAGCTGGCCTCAGTTGGAGCGTCTCGGCTCCCTGGTTGGGGTCCGAAAGACGATGAACACGTTTGGCTGGATACACCTATTGATATGGCTAGGAGCCGACCTCAGTGGCGTTCGTGCTGTGAGTTTCTTTGTCCCACCCCATCCCTCTTAGCCCACCCCCAACTACGATCTCATTATTTAGCATTTTATAATTTTGCATAGTAAATTTTTTTCTGCTTCATAGTAGCCGGCAGGTAGCTTACCGGAGCGATGCCCATGCGTTACCGGTAGCTCAGCTGGTTTGCACCTGTTACATTTTATTCCCTTGTTTCTTTTATGTATTGCGGCACAGTAGCTGAGGTGTTACCCACTTCTAGCTAACGTGTATAGTGTGTGTGTGTGTGTGTGTGTGTGTGTGTGTGGGTGTGTGTGGTATCGGTTCTCCAACGCAGGAACTAGCCTGATATTTGGCAGGTTTGTTGCAACCACTAACTGGGAGAACAAATATGTTCGTACGTAACACTTTTGAGTTCGCGTGAAAGTTAGCAGGTCTAGCCATCGCGCCAGATGAAATCATGGTTAGTTTCGACGTTTGCTCCCTATTCACTAACGTACCCAAAGATGACGCAATGGGTATGGCATAGCGTTGTCTGACTGAGGACAGTAACCTGAAGCAGCGAACGGAACTCACGGTAGACCAGATAATCGATGCAATTAAACTATCCCTTTATATGTCATATTTCACGTTCCAATCTCGCGGTACTTATCGTAAGTAATGGTTGATGGAGCGGCTCGGTAGGTTCTTTAGCACCTAGACCTCTGTGAGCGGGTACCTGCCAATGGTGTCTATCGAGAGGAGCTGTGCGCGCGACTTCCTTTTCAATGAGCGAGATGTAAGGAGCAGAGACAGATCGCCTCTAAAGGCTCGCTGCCGTCCTTTTAAGGATGCACAGCCTGGTACGCTCACAGAACATAGGCGAAGAGCAAGCCAAATCCTACTCTGGCCGGAGTTGTATCGATCACACATTTACTCTTCGTCAACTACTCGAACGTTGTCAAACGTACAGCCGGCCAAGTGTCGTTGTCTTCTTAGACATAGGAGCCTCGTTTGACTCAGCTGATCGAGCTGATCTCTGGAGCTGTATTTTGAGAAGGCGAGTTCTTGTGAAGTACGTCGACATTCTTCGAGAGATCTATTCTCGATTCTCGAGCCGAGCGCAGGTGTACCGAGGAGGTTTATTCCCTTTTATTAACTAGTGACGTGAGACAGGGCTCCACAACATCACTCATCCTGTTCAGTTTCGTTATAGGTGACATCATGGAGAGCGCTCTGGAAAACTGCGGACCCAGCGGCGTTGAGCTGCTTCAGGGGGACCGACTTCGCGTTTTGGAGAATGCAGATGACATCCCAGTAATTTGCGACCCTTCACAGACCCACAGAAAGTTTTGTAGGATGATGAGTCCCCCAGTTTGGAGTGACCGCCCCTTCGAAGTGCAAGGTCTTCTTACAGAAATGGCTAAGTGCTGCTCCCGTAGTTATGCTTTCGAGTCATTCTCTGGAAGTGGTAAGCAAGCTCGTTTATCACGACAAGTACATCAGCTTTAGGGGTTTAACAGATTAGGTCTCTTTGCTCGTCTCTAAAACCCGATTTACGTTTGCCAACCTCTGCTATCTCTAGCGTCCACGTGACCTGAGTCTCTCCTTGAAGGGCCGAATGTACAATGCCACGATGAGAGCAGTACAGCTCTACGGTTGCGACACTTGGCCTTTTCATGAAAATGACTGTTTTCGGAGCATTGCTAGTGTACGTTGGCAACATCACATTAGTAATTGGAGGTTTTTCCAAGGATTAACAGATCAGACAGACCGCCGGCCGCTGATCCCCATAATTTGACTGTTTAGGCTTCAGTGGCTTGGGCGCGTGCTTCACATTCATACTGAGCGTTTGCCTCACCGTGCACTCTGCGCGCACAGACGTAGACTGGAAACGAATGCAAGATGGCTAGCGAAGGCGAGTATGTAGGCGTTATCCTCAAACTTAGCCAGAGTTGGGCGCTCTCAACTAAGTGGCTGGGGGTGCGAGGATCCCGAACACGCATGGCTGGAAGCTCTTAAGTATATGACAAGAAACCGTGCACAATGGTGAACATGTTATGGCACGGTACCCCATGATTGCAGTTTTAAACTTCTTATTTACCCTTCCCAATACTTCATTATTGTTGTATTGCATTTGTCCATACGCTGTTGCACATTGACTACTGTACTGTTGGTCATGTGTCCTAAATCATTTATGGTTAGTGGCATCCGTTTCCGGATTTGCCTGTCACTGTGGCCAGCCACAGCACACCTGCGCTTACAGAGGGACCATGGGTGGCTTGCGCTGCACTACCCACAGCCCCATCCACACACCCATATCCAGTGTAAACCAGAAAGAATAAGACCGGGAGGCATATGGATAGTAGCCACGTTTCATGAACGGAGCCGGCCCACACTGCTTCACAGACAAACACAAGCACGCTGTATTTGGGGAATCTAGCGCACACAAGGCGGTGGATGGAATGTAGTCCGCTTCACACACAATCTGTGTGCATGAAACCACTTTTCGACCCTAGCACGGCCAGGAGGTCTATGCACCCGGTCCCCGTCGGCAACAACCAAATGTCTCCTAGAGTCAATATAGTCGACGTGGTGTGTAAGAAACAGGTAGGCACCTTGTCAACATGCACATCAAGCGCAACCATATCGGGGATATCAAGTAAAAGCCAATCACATGAAATGAAATAACCAATAAAATAGGTCGAAAAGACCGCACGGATATACCACTAAACTAGCACATGATATAAATGGATTATCAATATCATCATCAATACATGTTAGCTGAGAGTGAGAAACGCATCACAGATAATGTGCCACAACACAAAAAAGAGACAAAATGATACGCTACAAAAAGGATTTCAAGCAAGTGATTTGACTATCAACATGCCGCGATAAATTGAAGATGGCGGATAAAGAGATCAAAAAACATTAGCAGAAGGGAGGAAACAAACGAAGTTTGTCATTTTCCGTTTAAGCAACATTGGCAATTTAGTATGTTCTTTAGGCAGACATTGAAATGAGGTAGCAAAAGATGAAAGAAGATACAAACCTATCAACTGAAATAAAGAAACTTAGCATGCAAACACGTGGTTAGTAAATCGAATGCAGCGTACCTACAAACGCTGCGTCGGTTTTGCCTACGTTCTCTGCAGGACCCATCGTCTCTTCGGTAGTGGTCCCGAGTGGCCTCGCTCATGGTTTCCTAAGCCTGCCTGACTCAGGCACTCGCGAGCGCATGTGCTACAGCACCATGCGCTCGACGTTGATGGGGTACAAGAAAGTGGCGCCTGTTGCCTCCACAACTGCCGCTACTTTTCCGCATGCACGAGGGCTCTGTCTTGCACCTCGGTAACTGCCTTCGTGATCAGATCGCGCCATTCACGCCGATCAACCGCCTTCGATTCCCATGACCTGCAATCAAGATTAGAACGTGCGATGCTCACTTTGCTCATGTCCTGGTAACGAAACTTCGCTTTCCATCATCAGTATACACGTTAGCCAGAGTCGGAAAACACCTCAGCCACAGTGCCGTAATACATAAGTAGAAAAAAAGAAAAAATATATAATAATTGTATTTCAACTGAGCTACCAGCAACGGATAGGCATCATTCCGGAAAGCAACCAAGGTACAAGGCAACCAAAAATCATTGTCTAAAATTATATTATGCTACGAATTGAGATCGTGGTTGGAGGGGGGAGGCTAAGAGGGATGGGGTAGAACAAAGAAACCCACAACACGAGCGCCATTGAGGTCGGCTCCTAACCATATCATCAAGCGCATCTAACCAAACGTGTTCGTCATCTTTTGGACCCGAACCAGGGAGCCGTGACGCTCCAACCTAGGCTAGCTCCCAAGTGAGGACCTTCATTCCTCTCGACCAACTCATCGCTTGTTCACCTCTCCTCTTCTTCCATCCACACTCCCGGCGTGCAAACATCGCACGTCGTGGGAGCCGGTGGGCTGGCATGCGTAACACGTGGCTGAGCCATCGGAGCCTGGTACGTGAAAAGACGATGCTCGTTACTCACACAGTGTTCCCACCAGATGTGAGCCAAACTGCGAAGGCACCGATGGTCGAACGTAACTAGTCTTTTTATGTCGGCTGATCTGAGTAGTAGTTAAATAGTAGTAGTTAAGTAGTAAAATGACAAAATGCAAACGACGCGGCGGACCACGATTTCCGACGAACCATCTTTCGACACGACGTTCGCACGATTTCCCTTTATTGATTTCAACTCCCACCATTCTCGATAACGAAGGGTTTTTTGATTCCACCTTCTACATGGAGCTCTCTAGCGCCCCGAGAGATGTTTCTTTTTTCGCAGCAAATTTTATCGCTTATCGACTGTACAATATTATTCCTTGTTTCACTGATTCCGATGAAGCATAAGTTCAAGTAGCTGATGTACTGCTGTTGTTGGTTGTTTGATTACTGATCCCCACCTTCCGTCCATATTCTTTCGCCTACTCAGTTAGTTACTGCATTGCCGTTCGCTTTTATTCTGTTCATCCGTCCACATCCTCTTGTAGCCCCTCGAATATAGTCCGATGTGTCCGACTTCATTTGACTACTGCCAGTTGTGCTTGATTGTGTAACCTGCTCAGGAATAGTATCCACTAGCCCTTCATGTTTACAGGACTCTGTTTCAATCCCATTGAAACTTTTACATGCTTTTTCTCAGTATCCATCCCTTTTAATGTCGATTTTCACTTGCCCTTTGTTACATCGGTTTGCAGCTGCCTACGGGCTGTTAGCTTGGGACCTTTTCCTTCTAGTTCGGTCTGTTTCTTTATGGTTATGATAATGTAGTCTAGCAATCGTTGAGATATTTTTTCTTGTGTTACAGCTTTACAGTTTTCTAACGATCTCGGAATCCGGACACATACCCAGTTGGGCCTTGTAATCTATGTCTGATCATCGCAAGGTAACTTTAAATTTCCGTCTACATTTTTTAGAGTTTACTGTCTGCTTTATATTCGGTGGATCCCTCGTCGTTCAACAGTTTTTTATTCGAAATTGTCAGATGGCATGCTTTACGGTATTGCAATGCCCAAGTTAATAAACCGATCGATTGTGATCTGCGCAACACATCGGAGCCCGGCGAATCAGAATTTTCCCAGCTGAAACACTGTTTGTTTTCGGTATTTGAGGCTTTTATCGCTGGTGCTACTTTTCCTTCTCCCGAAGTCCTGTCTGATTTGGAAAAGCGCCTTAATCCCCTCGTTCCTGGGGGCCACACGATTTGTGGACACATACTCCAGCAGAATGAACCAGTTTATTCCTGCAGGTGGTTTTTTCGTGATTATATTTCGTTTTTTTAACAAACCACGCATTTGTTTTCATTTAGATGGAATCTTCTATTATTGCTGTTTTACACCATTCTTTTCGGAGATTCTTGTGTCGTTATTGCCTTTGCAGCTTGTTTTTCTCTCAACCATGCGGTAACACGGCTTACATGAAAAGCGTTATCCCGCTACCCTTTTCCATGTGATCACACCAGCATACATCTCAAGGAACTCCAACCACTCATTTGTGTGTTTATCTCCGGGTACGTTTCGACGGACGACCGCGAGCGTATGGAGACTTTCCAATTGGTGAAGCCAGATGTTCAGAGTGCGTATTAAAACACGCTGGCATACCGGTTGTGTAAACCCTAACTGAGCACGTTGGAATGCTGTTAGCCTCATTTACGCAAGACGTTATTAGCAGCAACTGTTTAATCGTGTGGCAGTACGTCTCTAGGCGATCTTTGGGACCTTAGGGTTTACCGACTCATTCCGGCTGGAAGTATATGCGACCAGATGTGCATCGATCTCATGGTAAGGTGCGCTAGCATGATACCAGACTACGAAGCCTGGTGGTTTAACCGTGCATCGGGTGTGGAAACGTCCACTGTTCTTGGTAACCATTGGACCCGGTAACATATGTGATATTGGCAAAACTATATGTGACAAGAGGGCATACCTTTTCAACTGCTTGTCAAAACACTCGTGGTGTTGTTCTGGACACTTTTAAGGGCAATATATTTGATCATATTTGTCATCATGCTTTAACCGCCCGCGATCGCTCTGCATCTTGAGATCTGCCTTTGGATCCGCGCGATTATTTGCATGCCCCCGTGAGCTATGCTAGATGGCACTTTTTACTTACATTCAGAGCCTGCCAAACTAGTCAATTCTTAGAAGGTTGGTGTCTATTTTCTGTGAAAACTCAGCTGTTGTAGATGACAGGTTACTGGTTAGGCTCAGCTAGATTTGCGTTGCACACGAGATACTCAGGTTGTATCTCATGAGCTGAGAGCGCGGCAGGTAGATATAAAGCGATCTATCTGCATTTTTTAAGGCTGCGTGTGGCAGTTCTAAAGCTTTCTGAATACTACTCTGCAACCGTGCGCCGGCCAATTTACCACTGCCTTGCATATTAGATTGTTTTGACCCAAGTTCCGGATGGAGTTCTTATCACTTAATTCCGAATGGTCAGGAATAGCCATCCCATATCTTTTTCAACTTTTCTTCGTCCAGAGACTGGTAATCGACTGCCGAACTTGTGGTACGTCGACGGTAGGCTCTCTTTAGCCCTCACTCACTTGCTATGCGAGCACTGCGGAACAGGTTGACTCATAACTGCATGCTTTGGGGGAAGACTTCGGTCCTACCGAGTTCCCTTCCTAACTCCACCAAACCCAGTCTAGCTTTTTTTGCTTACTGCTGTAATTTGTTCTGAAACAAAGGGCAGTAGGGCGACTGGACTGTTAGGTCACATTGTGCTCACGCGGATGCAACAGAACTGTTGCAAGCACTGGGCCATTGTCGATCGTCGCTCATTTTGTTCGTTTCGTGCAACACAAAGCTAATAAAGCGATGCTGAGTTTAGCGGAGTCATGATAGCCTACTGTTCCAATAGTCCAGCAGCTGTTTAGGTTCGCCCCCACACCCACACAAAATACGCGAGTGACAGGGGACAACTGGGTCACAGTACATAAACTTCGTCAGCTACAGCCCCAGTGATCGAATTGGCCAAGATTTACTTCAGTAGGAATCGCGGTCCACATTGAGATTACTTATCGCAGTCCATTCACAAAACGCGTTTCAATTCAGTTGATAAACTATGATCCGAGCAACGAAGTGCGGTGGATCCGGTTACCACGATTCACATCGCAAGAATGTCGATAAATAAGTCCGGTAGGATACTGGGGTAGGGTACAAATATAATGTACATCAAGTGAAAGCAAGGAAGAAATGCTTTAGACTAATCGGAATCTAATGAAAATTGACAACCAGACGTATGTAGGAACGCCAGCGACTGTGTGACTACGTCATGTCTGACACCGTCTCTTACCATTGCTGTGGAACATCCCGAGGCCCCAAACCAGGAATACGGCATGCATCATCCTGACCAAGTCTCTCGGTCAATTTCCGTAGGCTTTTATGCCACCTCATGGACTGGCCACTTCGCGGTTTCGCTCGAATTGGTGCGGCTACGACGTATAATGCACGCCGAGGACGCCGATCAACGCGCATATGGAGGACATGGCCTGGCCAACGCAAGCGATTAGGATTTATCAAACACTGGTGTGAGGCACCAGGAGGCATTTTGCTAAAATCCAACTGGCGGACTTCAGCATTGCTCACCGTGCTGTTCCCACCAGACATGATCAATACCTCACAAGCACCGGTGCTCAAACGCGGTCAAGTGTTTAACGTCTTCGCCACGCATTGGGTAGGTCTCTGACCCATACACTAAGACAAGCCTTATCGCAGCGTTATACAACCTAACTTTCACTGACAAGCTGATATCCCGACGTCACCATAGATGGGTGAGCTACTGGAAAGCCACATGTGCCTTGTTGAAACGCGAAGTAACTTCCTCAGTGATGTGACCACCAGAGGTGACACAGCTACCAAGGTACATGAACCTACTCACCACTTCCAGTGGCTGTTTAGCAATAGCTAAAACCGGGTGTCTGCCCAGTCCTGCAACAGCACTTTACAAAGTACAAGCCGAACAGTACATTCCTCGGCGTCAGTCTATCCGGTAGTTTTTGCGTAGCCACTGCGTCAGAGCTTAAGAAGAGCTATGTGGTCCGCATACTCCAGGTTTGTCAGTCGGTTGCCTGACAGAATTTGCACTCCAGAATGGTCTGAAAGAATCAAGTCATTCATGATCATTTTGATCACAAGGTTAAAGAGGAAAGGAGATATGAGATATCCCTGACGAACCCCACCTGTCGTCGGGCACTTCAGAGTGAGTTTCCCGTAGACCTTTACACCGCCTCGGGAACCACATTAGAGGGACTTCAGAATGGAAAGGAGTTTAGCTGACACGCGCTTCATGGATAGGCAGTGCCACAAGGTGGCGTGGTCAACAGATTTGAAGGCTGCTTTCAACTCAAGGAAAACCACCATAGTCTGTCATCTTTGCGCTAAAACTTGGCGAAGAGTAAATATGTGGTCGATGCAACCACGGCCTGGGCGGAAACCAGCCTGGCTTTCAGTAATTCAGTCCTCACGGGTCCAGGAACTCGTCAAAGAATGATACCTGCGAGAACTTTTGAGGCAATGGAAAGAAGTCTAATGATGATTTTCGTACGAAGTTCGCTGACCCTTCTTGGTGATGGGAGTGACAGTTGTTATTCGCTAGTATGATGGCTCCACTTCAGTGGTCAACATCATGTTAAACAGAGAAGCAAGTCCAGTCAACAAAGAGTCACCACCATCTTTCAGCAATGGTGGATGAATGTCGTCGTGTCCAGGAGCCTTGTTTCTTTTTAACACGACGAGCTCAAGTCGAATCCCTTCCAAAGTTAGGAGTGAGACATCTAGTTCCCACGTCAAATCGAGTGAATCCACAAGCAGCAGTGTCGCAGCGGGCCTGCAGAACTGCTCTCCAGAATGCTCAGGCCGACGGGTTTGTCGACGACACCGAGAATGGATCAGCAGTCCGTCTTTCTCAGCTATAGTCTCGCAAACACACGGCTTTCTGGGACCTGTGTTCCGGACGAGTTGGAATAGCACTCGATTGTTTCCAATAGCGCTGGTTTTCTCCATTTCACGGCCTTTGCAACCCACCAGCGTTCCCGGTCAGACCGAAGACTCCTTGTCAGATGTCGTTTCAGGGAGTTACGGATATGCTGAAACGCTGCCCAATGAAATCCGCTTACGCTCTTCGATCAAGCAGATCGATGCTTCAGAGAAGCATTCGCAGTTACCTCTCAGGTTGGGTGCACAGCATCGTTCAAGGGCATTCTTCATGACACACTTGAGACGATCCCAATGATCGTTCGCCTCACCAACCTCATTTCTCACTGACACTTAGTGGACTAGTTCGTTATGATATTGTTGAACCATAGACTGCGACTTCAACTTGCAGGTAAGAAGATTAGAAAACAGAAGCTTCTTTGAAGTGGGAAGAGTGAGCGCCAGAGGTGCGCGCAGTAGATCATCTTCGGAATTCAGGCGCGTGCTTCAAATTGACCGACAGTCTTAGACTTATATGCACCATCTGTAGCCGATGACAATCTCGTCATTTTGGGTTCGTAGCATTGTGGAATTCGGTGAGCGTTAGATGACGCGATGTGAACGTTCATGCTGGAGAGCACGAATGCTTCACCTTGACCCTTCAAAGCTAGGTGGCATTTGTTCAAGTCTGACTTTCCAGTAGTCACATAGCTACACAGCTTCATGCGTGGTGGCCCAGGCACATTTACTGCGTGAAGGCTGTGGTGGAGAGAGAGGGGGAAACTCAGTCACCGCCTTTGATCGTACTTCACGATCAAGCGGAAGCTTTGCTGTGGCACCGCTGGTTACACAATTCATTTACATTAGAATGACTACACAATGTAGTCTAAACATTGTCGAATCGCCTTACTACACATTTCTTGCTAGCAAATTGCTGATTTCCGGCTCAGTAGCCGGATGTGTGCGGTCCGATTGGCTAGCTCGTTCAAAGCTTCGAAGCTGCGCGGGAATAACAGGTGTCTATACGTTATCGCTGCCTATGCACCCACAAACTCTACCAATGACTGGGTAAAAGACGACTTCTATCCTCAATTGAACAAGCTCCTTCGCCGCAGAAGGAGCTCGGACACTGTTGTGCTGGCTGAGGATCTGAACGCACAAGTTGAAAGCTGTCCACTGATGAATTACATCTGGGCGGCCAACATGGTGTAGGCTCCCGTAATGAAAACAGTGAGCGGTTAATTCATTTGTGTGAGGAGGATCGCTTATTTCTTATGAGCACTAATTTCCGACACAGCACCCGACGGAGGGTGACTTGGCGCCCACCAGA